TCTTTCTTCTACCAAAGAAAAATATTGTATGTTTTTCAAAGTAGCCATAAATATTATATAATATTAAAGACTATTGAAGGAATTACACTTTAAATAAGACAAATTTATTCTATTTTTGTGTGATAATATCAATATCATTAAGTAAGTAAGAAATCTTGTGATGCATCATTACATCAAATATATTAAATTAGATCACCATTACATCCAAGAAAAATATCAAAATAGAAATATCAACATTGATTATATTCTATTCCAAGCAATATAAGTAGATGTTTTACGAAGTCTTTAAAACCATTAACCTTAATTCAAAATAAAGAAGCAATTGCATTCAAAAGATTTTCAATTCTAATACAAATCCTTACAACTTTAGAGTCTTTTACTCTATAAATCAAATAATAATTCAGAAGTATAAATTTTGCAATATACTTATGGGAGAAAGACAATATCACTAAATAGATACACATGATGTATCTTATTGGTTGAAAATTAAGCAATAAGTTGTTGCAAATATTATTATAGTGGTTGACAACATCATTGGCTTATGTTGGAGTTATAAGAGGAGTCAAAACCAACTCTTTAGAGAGACCAAAAGTGTTGTAATTACTTGAAATGGAAGAAAATTATTTAAGATTTGGATTCTCTTATCAAGTAACTTATCAATTTAGTTGGAAGTTCTATGGGATTTAGAAAGATTTTCAAGTAGGTATCTATTCATCTTGGCTTGAATGTCAAGAACAAGTGAAGAGGTATTCCATCTTCTAAAGCTTAAGGTGCTTCGGCATATCCACATCCTTCATAATTTTGCTTCACTTGCATCTTATATTTGTCAATGTGTTTTATTATAAGTAATGACTTTTACTTTTACTTATGGATACTTTTGAGTTATGCATCTTCTGTTATTAAATGTGTTTATTGTATGTATTAACTTTTCTTTTACTTATTGATACTTTTGGATTAGCTTGGTAAATAGACTTTGGTGGATGTCAAAATGTTGATGATTATTATATCCTACTTAGAAGAAACTAAGTGGTGTAGTTTTTAGTAGGGAATTAAAAAGGCTAAGGCTATAAAGGATTATTTGAATTCCTTATGAATTGTTGCATATAATAAACACTAATTATGAAGCAAAATATTACTCTAAGTTACATTAGTTTCCAGTCATCTTCAAAAAAATAAAAAAATAAAAAAGTAATCATATTTTCATTGAATTTATTAAATTTAGAATAAAATAATGTCTTTTGAAGATATTAACTTTATTCTTAGGTAATTTTAAGGTTTGATTCAAGTGATTTTTTCTTTTTGATTACATCTATTACTTGTTTTAAAAACATTAAAATATAAAGATTGTATAATGGATTGAAGCATAAATACTAGTTACTGTTATAAAAATAATGTTACAATAAATATATAAAATATTATAATATAATATACTAAAATAAATAGTATTATAATTTTTACATTAAATCTTGATAATATTATAATAAATTATATTAAAATATAAATATATTATAATATTATTTTATTATTTTATTAGAATTATATTTTTATTAGATTTTCATAATAAAAATCATATGATTATTATTATTTATTTATAATATTAAATATTATTATTTTAATAATATATCATTGATATTATTTTTATAACAACTAATTCTTTTTATTTTAATAAAAAATATATAAAACATCATTTTAAATGTAAATATCATTGAAAATATATTTATTTATTGATAATATAAAATATTAAATTTAATTAATATATTATTTAAAATAATCAAAATTTATTTATCAAAAATTATTTTAGTTTCTAAACCTATAGATATTTAAAAATATATATAATTCTCAACCAACTTTAATATTAGCTGATTTCATAAAAATATTTATTAATATAAATCTTACTTAAATAATTTCAAGAAAAAATTTAAAAATTAAAAAAAAAAAAAAAAAAAAAACCAATATAAAATTTTAGAATATTACGATATTTACATTAAGACAATTATTAAATATATTAAAATTAATCCTTAAACAAAAAGCACTTGGTTAAATATTTAGAGAGTAATTTATTTTTAATATCTTAAATTATTACCCATGAACTAATTTAATCAGTTTTAAAATCAAAAGTCACATATTAGCATAAAATAAAATTAAAAAATCATAATTAATATTAAAATATTATTTTTTGATACTAATTCTATATATTATTTTGATAATAGTTTGATATCTTATTTTGATAATAATTTAATTTGAATATTTTATATAAAAAAAATAAAATTGTGAATGAAATATATACATTACATTGTGTCAAAGACATGAATCACAAATAACTAAAACTTCAATTCATTCTTGTGTCACTTTAAAAGAGTAGATATTTACTTTAAAATAATATAGTATTATAACTAGAATAACTATTGCCAAAAAAAAGACTAAAGCTTCTTGAAACAAGAATAAAAACAAGAAAGGCATTGATAAGAGTGAAGAAGGCTTTACTCTTGCGTCTATATATCCTATCTAAGTAAGAGCTATGTAGCAACATTCTATAAGACCTCCAACACATGTCCAAAATTTGGGACACATGTCTAACTTGTAAGACTAGTTTCTTAAATGTTTGTCACATTGCCAAATTGTACCACAAGTCACCAACATAAGAATACATGGCCAACTTATTGGCTCCATTTTCAATCTATTAATCATCTAAAAACATATATAAAGTCAAATTTGCATCTATGGAGCTGCTAAGAAGCTTTCTACTAGATATTAACAAATTTACTTACTTCTACTTACTTCTAACAGTCTCCTTTAATCTAGGCAAATATACTTGTTTGTGACTGATATTTTTCAATAGTAGTGTAGTTTTAGGAAATAAGAAATATTATATTAATAAGAAGTCTACATTAAAAACTTTATTTGAAAAATTGTATTTAAAAGTAAGATATATTTTATTAATGTAGTAAGAGAGATTTTATTGATTCTAATTCTATTACATATGATAACTATAGAATATTTAAATGGATTAAATAAATTAATATTTACCACCTAGTATAGTTTAATGTTAGTAAAATAAGTGTTAAAAAAATTATAATATATATATATATATATATATATATATATATATTAATCTAGAATGCATGAAATAAATTAAACTAAAATGCATCAATATGTAAAAATCATTAGAATAAATATAATTTTTATGATTATTATAGATATTAGAAGTTTTTCTTGGCTTAAATATTTTATCTAATTTCTAATTTAATTAAAATTTTAAAAAACTATATTATTACTAAAAAAAACTAATTGATAATATCTATATTATTTATAACCTTATTAGTAATTTAATATTGACAACTTTTTCATTCTATTCAAATTTTTAAATTATAAATTTATCAATTTAAGAGCCATGTAATAATAGTATACATCACAACAATGCAAAATAGAACAAATTTGAATTGTAACTATGAACCAATTTGGATAGGATTTGTAAATACATTATATGTATGTGTTGATTATTAATAAAATTAAAACCATTATAATATATTATAGGCTTGATGTTAAAATCAAGTAATAGCCAAAAATAAGGAAGTTTTGTCAAACTTGAAATGATTTTTAAATAGACTGATTTTTTTTTTTATTTCACTATATGTTCTAAACAACCTACAATAGCTAAAATTTTAATTTTTTGTATATATATACACACAATAAAAATTACAGTAGTCACATCCTTAAATGTATTTTAAGTTACAAATTAAAGAAGTTTATCTTGGTATTAGTGCTTGAATTGCAAACATTTTTCAATTGAACATTAACCATATTAGATGATGCATCATATTGCCACAACTATTAAAAGAAAGCTGAAGTATTAAGTATATTGGTTCAGTTTTTAAAGTAGTATTTATGACTTCTAATATTCAAAAAAATATGTAAACCAAAATTAATTATATTATTTAATAGTTTACATTAAATCCACTTGAAATTTAAATGTTCAAAAGTTCGACCGTTTTACATAGAAATGTAAAAATATGATCCAAATTTATTCTAAATCATTCAAAACAATAAGTAGTAAATCGTTTTAGCCCTTTATTTAATTAATGTAAAGTATCATTTTTTAAAAAAATTTATTCTATCATAAAAAATTAAAGACTGTATAGTTAATAATTTAAGCTAGGTGTGCTAACATTTTTGCATTTAATGAGTAGTTAGCTGCAACCAACTTGAGTCATTTTGATTAATATAATAACATTATTAAAGATGGATAAGGGTAGTAGAGAAAAACAAACCAATCAATTTTTTTTACTTGTATAACCTATTATTATTAAGTTTTACTATAATTATTTAGCTTCACACAAGGTAATAAATATTGACAAATTAATGTTAAAGTCTATGAAGTTATTTAATGGTAAATGAACTAACCTTGGAAACTTTCAGTAAGAGTTGGATACATGCATCATCTCGTTTGCAGATGTAAATTAAGTAGAACTACTTCTAAGCATCCAAAAAAATGTTTACAAGCAAAGACTTTAACATCTTGTTCTAAAAATATAAATTACACAATAGTAAAAAATATGTGCTTAATACTTGCATAATCCAATTAAATTATAGATAAATACGTTAGAAATTGGAATAAAGTATACTTCCTATCTTGAAAATTTTATAGACATTTGACCTTCGAAATAATCAACTTAAACATTCTTTATCGGAGATTTGTCCCCAAGAGATAACTAAGGCTTCTTTTGATATTTATCACATTGGAATTATTTTGCCAATCCCTCTATATTTGAACAGATTACGTTGCTGTGAAGGATAGTTAGTAAACTACTCCGTGTTGACCCAATCTCTCAGCACCAAAGAAGCAAATTTTATTTGATTGGATATTTAAAGCACTTGTAAGTGAAATTTATTTCACTTTTCAAGAGATATTTTAAGAAGTAAAACATTGGCAGTTATGTAGATGCAACAACGATATAAGCATCCATGAACATAATTGTAAGAAGATCTAGTACACAAAGCAGTTCATAAAAAATGTGGGGACTAGGTCTCGTAATAATATGCTCCACAGAACTTACAAGAAAGTAGGTCTGAATCATACATTCCTAATGAATGGATAAAAGCTTTGAAAAACACTCGAACACGATCCAGATAAGTATCACAATGGATTACAGGTCCTCGAGATGTATGGTACTGAGGAAAATATGGTCCGAAATGACGAAGTTTAACAGTAAAGAAAAAGTAGTACAATAATGAGAAGTGAAGAGAGGATTTGTCTATTTCTATGACATGGTGTCGATAAGGGAAGCCCTCATTTCATTGACAATATTACTGGGTTGAGCGTCACGGAGTTTGAACACACTCTCTATAACAGAGAGTTCTGTAGCTGTTGTGTCCAATCCACAGAAAGCAGTCCAGTCATTAACCACCAAACCAGCACCAATGACTTCACTTCCTCTGTTTACAGTACCAGCCACGAGTGGCACTTGTAATAACGATGACAACTCATCCAAATCCTCTATCGATGTGTGTGGGTGTACCTGCAAAACAATGTACTCTCAGCTTCTGAAACTAGTGCTACTCCTCAGAAATCTAACCATGTTGATATACTATGCAGCTGCTTGGCATATGTACTCAAGGTCTCTGAATCAGGAAATTAGAAATCGGATTGCTTACCAATCCACCACGATTAGTGAATTGACAATAGCTCCCAACAAGAATATTGCCAGCAATGGTTTGCCTGAATACTTCAACTCCCAGGACATCTGCTACAAGTTCTTCCGTTTCCTGTAACCAAGTTGAACAGCTTTTATATAAATGAGTACCGAAATGAGAGAAATGCAGGACACTGATGGAACAGATTTTATCATTATACTCAACGCGAGGTACTTGAAGTGGGCCATGCAATTTTTTACTTCGAAAGAAGAAACCACGTTTTTCAGTGATAAATGACTAAAGGACTACAAGAGTACATTTTCTAGACTGCAGGGTCCTAACTAGGAATTGTACGTACCCTATCCAGATCAGTGTGAATAAGCGACACATAGTCATTACAAGCGATACAATTTCCAAGCGCTGAGAGACGTTCATCCACTCTTTGAACGACCACGCTGTCTGGTAAGCAATTCCTTATATGCAGTAGCTCTGTATTTTCCACCAGCACGATGCATGTCAACAAAAATATCCTCATTTACTGCCATTGAACAAAAGTGATAACAAACGAATATGATCTAAAGGAAGCCCATCGTGTCTTATTCAGAGGGTGTTGACTTTCTTATAGTAAGCTTTTAATGAGATAAAAGAGTACCTTGATCAGTGGTTGCTTGTGGAAGGAGGAGACCATTCTTATTACCTGAAAGCAAAAGAGAACTACGTGAGCTCCATAATCACCGAGTTCATGGTTGCGAAGTTCAAGAACTCTTTTGTTTTCTTTCGTGACCTTCAAATTCTAACAGACTTGTACAAGTGGTGGCATTTTAGAGTTTGTATGAGTAACGTGTTCAACCCATCCCATCCTTGCTCAAGGGAGTGACATGAAAGGCCAACTTCAATAGAGGCAAGAAAGCAAAAAGATACGCTCAAGTACGCAGATGGTATTCAAAAGTCTAATATTATTCAGATGAAAAGACTTACCAACACACATACGACCTATTACTCGGGTACCAGCAATAGAGGCCTTCACAACGGGAATAACATCACCTAATTCTGCTTCAAATGTGCTGCCAAGTCCAAAAAAATTAGATACATAATATTGGAAAAATGGATTTCACAACCCATTTGAATTATCAAAACTTGCTCTGCAAGAAAAATTTGAGATTACAAGAAAACATGTCGTGGACTTTATTCAAGAATGCACACCAAAGAAAAAAGATTCAGTTATGGCACCTGTAGAAGTTTTCAGAGCCACCAATTGCTACCAAGCAGTAGGCATTTGTTAGCTTTGAAAAAACTCCGATTTCATTGCTATTCTCAAACTGAACCCCTGCAGACGGTCACAGGAAGGTCAGATTGCACTTTCAGAAAAAAAGAATCCACAGCCCTTGCTCCTAAGTTGAACTTCTACAAAGTTCCAGCTTTGAAGGGCTCCGCATCAAACCCTCGTACAATAGAATAAATTACTTCTTTAAAAAAATCCAGATACGGTGAGACACAATTGGAACACAACGGATACAGCAAAAGCGTGCACACATCCACTGAACCTAAACATCCATCCCTAATCTAAAACCTCGAATGCTAAACCTCAAGTCCACAAAACCCATAGACATGAATCACGATGCAAAACTGCACAGCTTGAAGGTGACGATGCAATCAGCTTTAAATCCTCCTGGACGAGGTATTACCCAAATGCATCGGCCACCAACAGAACAAACACAACAACTCTAGAACCTAGTTCTCAACCGAGCACTCCTGCCTGTGCAATAACACCGACTAATCAGTGCAAAGGTATATTGTCTCTTACTAGTAGCCATTCTGGGGTATCCAAAGATCTAACTTCGAGTTTCACTGTCGAAATCTGAAAGCGACACAGCTTCGGAAAAGGGTCTTCGAAATACAGAAGTTCAATGTCGGAGCCGATACACATCAATCGCACAGAGATGATGAATTCGGGTTGAAACACAAGAGCAAGAGTGGACCAGAATTAGAAAATTAGGGTTAGGGTTTCTGGGACTCGGCCTGGTTTGATATTGTTCCCATGCCCGCGTGCTTGTTCTTTATTTGTCTCCCTTGAACGTGCTTATAGGTCCATCTCGGACTCCCATGCAGTAGCGGTCATGGGATCCACAAGTTCAAGCTGGAATAGATTAAACTTGAACACACTCATTTTCATGACATCTCAACTTAGTCTTTCATGGGCCATTTTGTTCTCATTTTTTAATTAGAAATAATCTTCCCATGCATGTTAATATTTTTTTCTGATAATGTCAAATACCGGATCCAGTGAAGTAAAATTAAAATTACAAAATCACCACAAATGAAACTAATTTAGATTTAACATTGTTTTTTGTTTTTTGTTTTTTTTGAAGGATATTTTTTGAACCATATTTTTGGGATTTTCATAAAGCCATTCTAAAAAAATTTATTTTAAATTGAATAATTATTTTTTCAATTCAATTAAAAGTGGCAAAACACCACCTAAATTGAAACCTTGATTTATTTTTTTCAAATAAAATAACCAATTTTAACACTTATGCTACTACAAATCCAAGAGAAGAATTTGGCACTTGTAAACTTTACATTATAAAAAAAAAATTATTTACATAAAAACTTTAACCTCTACTTACTACCTATGTACAATAATAAAAATCTGTTTGATGAAATTTATCTAAACTCAATTTGAGAGTAATAATACACAACTAGAAAATTATTTACTGGAATTCAAATCAAACATGTCATTCTACTAAGAGCCAAGTTATTAATGGGGTGCCAATTACCGCCGATAGATAACCACGGGTATGGGTACGCCGCAGTCATAGGAGATGAATGCTTCCTCGCCTGTGAAGTTGAGTTCACAGCAATGTTTGTTTGTGTCTAGATTGAAACTCTATCGACACCATGAGTTGCTCGAATCGTCCATGATGGCTTCGTCGGCGCTGGATCTGTGAACTTGGGGTTCATGCAGAACTTGCCGTGCATGCCTGCTGTGGCACGGCCGAAGCCCTAAACATCCGCGGCCAATCGCAGATTTCAAACCAATCACGAAATGCTCATCCTCTCCGCATCTAGCAAAACATTTTCACCGTGCAGAGGAGGGCTTCTTCTTCGTGATGGTGCCTCATGCGGATGCCATCCACAAGGTGGACTTAGTACCTATTTGCGTGCAAGGGAAACATTGAACCTACTTAAGTCCTCTAACTTATCCCTCTCGTGCCGTCACTCTGCTGCTTGGAAGTAGCCGATGCCCATGCTGTATGACACATAGCACATTCTGCTGCTTGGAAGTAACCAGTAACGCAGGAGGAGTTCTACGGACCCCGACCTGTTGAAGCTCATGGATCCGGTCCAAGTGAGACCAGAGACTGACGGGGGTCGTGCACATCGACTTGGAGGAGCTGGTCCTGTGTGGTGGGTGGTCCCTTCAGGAACCAGGTTCGCGAGGGATCGTCTGTGCCTGCCATGCTGACGGATACCACGATGATTCTGCGCATTGGGAAGCGATTGGGCAGCAAGCAGTGTCTGTCAAAGCACCAGGACTTTGGCTCCATGAAACCCTCACTTCGGGTCCAACTGGGTGGCGGATCTGCAGACCCAGAATCTGTTGGACCCCGCAGCAGATTCAAATGTAAGTATATTTATTTTTAAAAAGAGCTATGAAGACCATTGACATAGCTCTAGTCATTGTCTTGAAGGTGCTACTGGCCTGATATAACATAGCGGTGTCTGCACCGAATGTGATGATGACGTGTACCAAATCATTGGAAGGCACTGATAATGTCGACAGGCACCTGCATGCAACCAGTGCCGATGCCTCACTTGTCACTGAAATTTACGACCTAAATTTTGACGACGAGATAATGTTCTAACAAATCCATTGCTCTGCATGATATTACGAGTTTGTGCGTCATCTGTACTCAGAATTCTTATTCATATTTCTAATTCTCGTGAATGTGTTTTCGATGGGTGTACATCTACGGTGGAGTCAGAGCTCCTTGTAATTCTCCATCGTTCTTTTACCAAATATCCTGCCCATCAATGGGTTACGGTGGTGAAAATGATAGGTGTAGAGGCAACTCGGTGACCACCGAGGCTCTTGTTGCAGCCATGACCCACGTTCTCATTGTCATTCTTTGTGATCGATAGTTTGATCCAGTACTATTAACTGCACTAATAAAGGGATCTGCCCTCTGAGCCTAAGCACTTGCGCCTATCAAAATCGATGCTCGAGAGTTCATGAATAATTTTGTCGTGGAATGCAATAAAACGCTGAGAAGGTCCATGTACACATGCCGAAGGAAGATAATAACTCAACCTCTCTCCATTCTCTCAAACTCCACACAGAGGTGCGTAGTTTTCATTGATGTCGACCTGCCCCTGTAAATTACATACAGACAACACATGGGATTTCCTATTCTCGACTTACGATATCGAATGAGCTGATTCCACTAGGCACGCTTTAATTTTGGAGACAAACCAATCAGAGCTTTTGCTGCAGAGTAGAATGCGAAACTTACCAGTTCAGTGAATACCATGAACCTGACCTCAACTTCTGCCGATGCATCGATCTCAACGAGGGATCTGCTGAAGGTTCGCTGCATCACTTCCCGGGAACCATTGTGTAAAACCTAAAAGCACTCTATCAGAAAAAACGAAGCTTGTTCTTGAATCCTTTACCAGGAAAAACCTGCTCATTACGGTTTTTATGGCTCACATTTTTGGAAAGTGTTCAGTTCTTTAACCCACGACAATTCAATTAAAGCGACAAACACTTCAAATCTACCGGACACAGCTCAGTTTTGTTGTAATGGAGCATCCCACTATGTTCGCATGTGTGTTTCCCTCAAAAAAATCAAGTTTGAAGCTAGTTTTCATGGTTCAAATGTGGAAGACTGTTATTGCATGGGTGATTTAATTGGAACAAGTATCATATGGTTTGATTTGGCTGTACTATGTGACACTCAAATGTCGGATATTTGTGATTGAACCACTACTTTTGAACGTCCTTCTAATTTTTACATTTCTCAACTAAAGTAAATTGCTTTTAATGATTCCTTATTACAGATAGTTCTAAATGCAAACTCCAACATTCTCAAACCTATTATAAAATCAGTAAGATTATAAGAACATGATCACATTCTGCACATGTATATAAAAGTGTGTGTGTGTGTATATACATATATTTGTGTATTCATTTACTCAAATATTTGATTTGTGTGAGATTGAGTGTGTGTAGTCCGAGTGTATGTGAGGAGATTGGGCAGAGGAAGATCATATCAAAGCAGCCCCTCCTCTGTCTGCCGGCCTGCCTGGCTGGCTGTCTGCCCATCTGCCGCTTGCGACATGGGGAGGGAGAAATAATATATGAGATCTTCCTCTTCATCATCATCATCATCTTCCTTCCTTCTTCTGCTTTGTCTTCTTCTTCCTCCCCCTACCTGCTCTGCTGCTGCAGCTCCTGCTGAATATAATATGGCAGAAAAGGAGTGGGTTGATTGATTGCCCTGCCTGCCATATTCTTCTTCTTCTGTTGCTGGTTCTTCTTCTGCCCCTCCTACTACTGCTAGTTTGTGCACTCCTACTGCTAGATTGTGCAGTTACACACGCTTGTTTGCTTACTGGCTTACAACCTGCATTGTCTCCTTCCTTCCTTCCTTGCTAGCTTACTTTCAACCTTACCTACTTCCTTGTCCGCTGACCTACAACCTGCACTGCTTGGCTGAGTTCAGAAGTGGGTTCAGTTCCCTTTCTTCCCCTCTCACAGAAGAAGAAGAATGTGGTAGGATGAATGGATAGTTGGATGGGATATGATTTAGAACACTAATTCCCCTTCCTCTTCACTGCTTTTTCTTTGGAGGCCAAGTTATGTGCCAATTATGTGGTGATTCATGAAATCTCTCTCTCTCTCTCTCTCTATGCAGGTTGCTTGTGTGCAGCAGCTTGGAAAAAGCTGACCTGGAGTTTGGGCATTTACCATAGTAAACCATACAATGCCAGACATGTGCTCTCCAACATGCACACACACACACACACACACAAAAAAAAAAAAAAAAAAAAAAAAAAAAACATACAACACTAAATAAAACAATGCAAATCTTCCAACTGGATTTCCACTGCCAGCATTTCTTCCCAGTATATTATTTGCAATCCATTTTTCTATCCCATCTCTTGAGATTCAGTAGTTATTCAATTCTTTCTCCTGTGATTTTCCTCATGATTTTTCTGTATTCAATGATATCCGTCCATATACTATTTTTGACTCGAAGCTTGTTCCAATTCTCTTCTGCTATGCATTAGATCCACATGTGACACAAACAAAGACCCTAAGAAGAGACCAGACAGTGTTGCAACAATTGTATTGGGATAGAAGAGGGGCAGCAAAAATAGCTTGATCCAGTTAGAATGCAATTTCAAGGACCCCAACTACTATATTCAGAGATTAACTTTTACAAGAGAGAGGTTACCCACATCCAAACATAACTTGCATACTTGCAATCCCAAAATCAATATGATATTGTTTCCAAAGTTTGTAGGTGACAGGGTGAGCACACAGGGGAAATACTGGGGGCATCTGTGAGACCTACCTTTCATGACAGGTCCTATTTTCTTCTATATTTGAAACAAAACAGACAAACAAGTGGAAGGAAATAGTTGGATGGTGTGTGGTGCTTACTTCTTCTGCAATTCTGACCAGGCCATACAAGCGAACTCCAAGGTTGGATTATTCTCTGGCAGTTGGGGGAGAGGGGTTTTGATATAATGCCCTCAGCAGAAGCAGCAGCAACTCTTCCCTGTCAACTACCTTTCAATGGAAAAATGTGGGCACATATGTGAAAGTGTGTCTTGTGCCACTTCAATGATTCCCAACCTACTTGTTTCAATTAAATAAAAAGAATAATTGGGAGAAATAAATAAAATAAAAAATAGAACTTAAACTTGTGACAGGCTCTAACCCAATAATTGAGGGAGGGGGGAGTTGGGGAATCAGATTGGATTGGATAGTGCTGTTCATGTCAT